ACAGTCTGACCAAAAAGAGCTGACTTTTCTGAACTGAAAGAGTGATTTGTGCTGTTCAACTAGTCTCTTACAAATAAAATTACAGTCAAACTATCTTACCATTAGCCAACAGTTTTTTTTAGTTAGTTACTACCACCTTATTGACGAAAATCAAACACCTAAACAGCACCACGAACACTCTTATTGATCACAGGCTCCTGAAAATCTATTAAAATGTAAAAAGTCTCAATATGGATCAATCCTGTCAGTGCGTTCAAAGATAAAGGCCTGATTATATAATAATATAATAATAATATCAAGCTGTATTTCTAACATCAACCGCATTAACAGACATTTCTTCTATACTTTGCCATGGCATCACGCTGGGGGTGTTCTACATGTACCTCTAATGATGAAATGTTTAGGAGTTCCCATGGTGACACAATACAAGCATTAACAAACAAACACTGTCAAAAAGTACTGAACATTCAAAAAGATGTAATATATTTAACTATTTTTAGACTTTAGTTTTTAAGCTTCAAGATAACATTTACTGTACAAATCATAATCTTAGAATAAACCATATACGCACAATGAAATAAAATAAATAAAGTAAAAGATTTGAGAGATTTGTGCAGGTTGAATGCTACAGACGTTCACAGATTACATGTCTAACATTTAAACTAGGGGTGTCAAAATTATCGCGTTAATTGCGATTAATTAATTACAGTCATATTTAGCGTGTTATGTTTTTTAATTGCGTTAATCTTATTTATAATCTCTAACTTTACTGTTTCTATATGCGAGTTGCCTTATTATAAAATCAATTTTTATGTGTTGTTGGGACACAGTCTCACTCCCGCACTGTGCAGTCCTGCTCCGCTCGCTCCTGCAAAGAATTGTAATTTTCATTCCTGTTCCCGCCGCATTTGCGATAAACCTGCACATGTCTGATCTCTGAAAACATCACGACACAGACACAGAACAGACTCACCTTCATCATCAACATCCTCTGTCACAGAGAGAACACTCATATTCCACTGAGTCATGTCCTTTAGTCCAACAGAAGTTGAACCGCATCAGTGCAAAAGAGCTTTTTTTTTTCTTTTCTTTTCTTCACTTAGTTTATGCAAATTAGCCATGCGGTTTTTAGTTTCGTTTCTGTGAGACTTGCACAAATCTACATTAAACACATTATAATGTCAAACGGCTGATGTGGCTCTAGAGCGGTGATGGTTTATATGTTGTAAAGTTAAGTTTATTTATGCAGATTAGTAACAGTAATAATAATGATGATACTTATATAAAAACATTAATGATAGTATGAAAATAATGTAATAATGAATTCAAATGAAAATACCTCAAGTTGAAGGCTTTTCTCAGCAATTTTTTGGTGAGATTTAAAAAGAGATTAATTAGATTAATTCATTACAGATCATAATTAATTAATTTCTAAATTTTTTTTTTTTTTTTAACTGCACAAATCTCTGTTTATACCAATATCTACATCTTGAAATAGATTTTTAATTTTAATTTTAGAATCAGTCTGAGTTCACAAGTTACAAGTTAATGTTAGTTTTGCTCAGGAGTAGTTCACTAATGCTCGTCGTAGTTCACCCTTTACGTTTTCATCTTTCTTACCTTGATAGTTGTGGATAAATTCTTCATGGACAGAATATGTCCTTTGTCGACCTTGTTGGTTGAAGATTTGGTGATGGGGCAGATTTATGAAGCTGGTGGAAAATACGCAAGACATTTCCACAAATATTTTGCCATAGAAAAGCATTAACACAAGTGACGTTTACCCTACATCGCTACACTTTCGACCGTCGTTAAAAGGTCTATACAAAAAATAAAAAGTAAATAAAAATACAAAAAGATAATAACAGTAATAATAACCCCGATCATCCTTTAAATTCAGATTTGTTTTTCTTTCCTTTTTCTTTTTCTTTTTTGTTTGTTAACCCTAATTTATAACCAATCTTGGGAGTTTCAAAGCTAAGTTAATATTTTGTTTTAAATCATCAATCGCAGAAACACCTTTTCACTATTTTGAAACCTCATATACAGAGTGGTACTTAAACCTGCAGGGGCATCCTCACACACACACACACACACACACAAACACAAACACACACAAATACACACACACACATCTGTTTCGGCCGGTTTTAAATTAAAAACCTGCTTCTGTACCCTCAGGGCTAAAGGGCTGCATGACTCAGAGCTCTCACCGCTCCACAAATTATTAAAAATTAAACACCACAACTTTGCTTTTAATTTGACATTTCCTGAGCGATTTCCTGACCTTTAAAACTTCATTAGCCGAGCCCCTAACCAACCACAAGCTTTATAAAAAAAAAAACAAAGTATGGATCCGTTCCCGAAACATTTAGTCTTTCATCCGACCGTGCAATTTTTCCCGCACAAAAACGGCAAAACATCACGGAGCTGTCGGCGCAAACAGATTGTGGAGCATTATGGGAGAAGGCGGTGATGGGGAGCCGTAGAAGAAGACTGACGTTTAGCTGTAATAGGCTGGAAAACCATGATAGATCGGCCCATTCAAGATTGGACACGCTCTATATCGCCACAGCAGGTTTCAGAGACGTATTGTCCATAAAAGCAGTTGAGGCGAGCGTGTGGGGATCGGGAGCAGCCGCGGAGTCGTAAAGAGAAGTGTCATTTTGGTAACGCAGAGGTCATAACTATTAACACAGAGGGCAGAGGTGTGAGGACCGGCAGAGGTGCGATGAACGGAGGAGAAGAGGTGGGAAAACAAAATCTGCTACGACTCTAAGAGATACTAAAGGTGCTGCTGCTACTACTACTTACTAATATTGCTACTACTGCTACATTTCAACTGTAAAATATTTGATGAACAGAGGAACAGAGGTGGGAAAAAGATCTACTACTGATAAAATCAATGCTGCTTCTGCTACTACTACTACTGCTACTACTACTACTACTACTACTACTGCTACTACTGCTACTACAGCTACAACTACAACTAGAACAACAACAAGAACAACATGAACAAGAACAATTACAACTACTACTACTACAAGAACAACTACAACAACTACTACTACTACAAGAACAACAACAAGAACAACAACTACTACTACAACAAGAAAAACAACAAGTACAACTACAACAACTACTACTACTACTACAAGAACAACAAGTAAAACTACAACAACTACTACAAGAACAACAACAAGAACAACAACTACTACTACTACAAGAACAACAACTACTACTACTACAAGAACAACAACAAGTACAACTACAACTACTACTACTACAAGAACAACAACAAGTACAACTACAACTACTACTACTACAAGAACAACTACTACTACTACTACTACTACAAGAACAACAACTACTACTACTACAAGAACAACAAGTACAACTACAACAACAACTACTACAAGAACAACAACAAGTACAACTACAACAACTACTACTACTACTACAAGAACAACAAGTACAACTACAACAACTACTACTACTACAAGAACAACAACAACTACTACTACTACAACAATTACTACTACTACTACTACAAGAACAACAACTACTACTACTACTACAACAATTACAACAACCACTACTACTACAAGAACAACAACTACAGCTACAACAACAACTATGACTATGACTACTTACTGATATTACTACTGCTACTGCTACAACTGTAAAATATTTGATGAACGGGGGAAGCAGAGGTGGGAATCTGCTACTATTATGATAGATACTGCTGGTGCTGCTGCTGCTACTACTACTACTTCTACTACTACTAGTACTACTACAAGAACAAGAACTACAACGACTACGTCTACTTTCTTATATTACTACTACTACATTTCAGCTGTAAAATATTTGATGAACGGGGGAACAGCTGTGGAAAAAACAGATCTATTCCTACTAAACTCAATGCTGCTTCTGCTACTACTCCTACTACTACTACTACTACTACTACTACAACTACTACTTCTATGACTACATTTCAACTAATACTACTACTGCTGCTGCTGCTGTTACTACTACATCTACTACTGCTACTACTTCTACGACTACATTTCAACTAATACTACTATACTGCTGCTGCTATTACTGCTACTACTACATCTACTACTGCTACTACTTCTATGACTACATTTCAGCTACTACTTATAGTACTAATACTACTACTGCTGTTACTGCCACTTCTATGACTACACTTCCACTAATAATACTGCTGCTGTTACTGCTACTACTACTACTACTACTACATTTACTGCTGATATTATTTCTATGACTACATTCAATTACTACTCCTAATACTGCTGCTACTTCTACAACTACATTTCAGCTACTACTTATAGTACTAATACTGCTACTGCTGCTGCTGTTACTCCTGCTACTACTACTGCTACTGCTACTGCTACTGCTACTACTAAATCTGCTACTGCTACTACTTCTACAACTACATTTCAACTACTGCTTATAGTACTAATACTACTACTGTTGTTACTGCTACTTCTATGACTACATTTCCACTAATACTACTACTACTACTGCTACTGCTACTATTACGTTTACTACTGATACTATTTCTACAACTTTATTTCAACTACTACTAATAATACTACTAATACTAATACTACTACTGCTGCTCCTACTGCATCTACTACTGCTATTACTTCTACTACTACATTTCATTTCAATTACTACTACTAATATTGCTGCTAGTTCAACGACTACATTTCAGCTACTACTTATAGTACTAATACTTCTACTGCTGGTACTGCTACTGCTACTCCTTCTAGCACTACTACTACTAAATACTAAATTCTATTTATACAAATATTTATTAGAATTTTACTTTCACTGCAACAAAGTCTGTGTTTGTACAGTTGGGCTTTAATTAACATGTTCATTTTTGGCAGATTCAAGTCTAGAAACTGAAAAATTGAGTTTGTTTATGACTAAAATCTGTCTCTCTTTTTCCTCTTCTCTGCTTCGTCCTTCAGCCAAACGACACAGATGTAAGTACCCATAATTCCTCTTTGATTTTCTGTTTCCAAACACACCGAGCCTAACACCTGCTGAATCGCGCGAAGGCAAATTCTCACCACGGAAAACGCTCACCGCAGACTCTTGACACAGTTAGAGACGTCAATTAAATACATAAATAGCATGCTAACACTGCACTAACAGGTACCGTGCCATTCACAAGTCAAAACGATACTAACGACTTCTCACTTCAGTTTGACACCTTTGTACTAACACCGAGCAGAACATATGCCTCCAGACATCCACCTACAAACACGGCGAGACTTTGACAAAGAGACGACATGTGCTCGGTGGATCAGTCTCATTCCGGGCAGAACAGTTATGTAAAAATCTGTTGGAATTTGCAATTTTTCTGACAAATTTGACAACTGTGATTAAAGGGTTCATTTCTGATCTGTTATGATGTTGTTTCGCTGTCACAAACAGACCTGGAGTTGTGTTTTTTTCTCATTCACACATGTTTAAAACACAAAATGCAGTGCTCAAACTGAAAATACTTCCACCTTGTGATGTCATGTGGTAATACAGGAAGTGCTCCACTGTGTTTTTAAACTCCATACACCTTCACTGAGAGCATATGAACAATTTCAGGCCTGGAAATTCCAATCTCTTCTGAAGAAACCTGTTAAAGGTGCTTTGTGTAACCTGTATTTCTAAGTAATTTTGAGCTATATAACAACCAGTCATTTAATAAATGTCAGATAGAGGTGTTTAATGTCATACTGTGGAACATTTCAGGTAGAGCAATGACCAAAAGTTACATAGTGCACCCTTTAATTTGGAAGCTGGCGCACAAAGTGGAACAGAGCATTTTGAGTTTTGGAGATGCAGACAGACTAATAATAAAAAGTTACTCAAAGATGTGTGAATGAAACAAAACACAACTTCAGGTCTGTTTTTAAGGAGGTAACAGGATTATAACAAGTCATACATTTTACATAATATAGAGGGATTATCAGACAACATCACTTCTCGCTCTACTGCACATGTCTCCTGCCAAAAGAACCACCGTCCTGTCTGTATCATGCCAGTGTCTTGTTTAATTTCAGCAGATTTCAGGTTCTCTCGGGGGCGGGGATAGTTGTATCGATCAGGTATGAGTGGATGTTCGGCTACTGAAGTTTGAGACATTTCTTCTCGTCATTTACGCAGTCACCTGATTTAAAGCATATGGGTCATTAAGACGTATCACTCTCACTAATTTAGCATCATAACTTATTTTATCACACAGCGATAAACTGTTTTAGTGCTGACAACAGTGCTACCTAACGCTGAAGCTTCCTGTTAACGGCACAGACAGCGGCGCTTTCTGCACTCAGTCTGCGCGAACATCCTCTTTGGGTGAATGTTTGGTTTTGGTTTAAGCCTGAGTTTAGTCCTGACGTGAACCTGGTTTGGTTTTGTTCTTTTCCTTGTTTGTAAAAATGAATATGATGTGTGATTCTAGTGCTCGGATGCAGATGGGCTTTGTCCACTACGCTGTGATAGTGTGGTAAGTACTACTACTACTCATAGTACTACTAATACTACTGCTACCACTACTAATAGTACTAGTAGTTGTGCAAAATCGTCTTGTAGTACTATTTTTTTTAAGTACTATTACTACCACTACTAGTACTCTTACTAATAGACTCCTTCTGCTTCTACTATTACTAAATACTACGACTATTACTACTACCACCCTTACCTCCATTACCTATGCTACTACAATTAAAACCTCTAGTACAACTACTAATAGTACTAGTGTTAATAATAATAATAATAAGATCATTATTCATTCACTCCACACTCGGTGGTGATAAACTACTACTGTAGCCACAGCTGCCCTGGGACAGACTGACAGGAGTGAGGCTGCCAATCTGCACCATCGGCCCCTCCACACACACACCACTTTCATATTAGGCAATGTGGGTGAAGTGTCTTGCCTAAGGACACAATGACAGTTTTTGTGACTGGCGCCCCCCTGTGGCTCCTGATTTTCCCAGTGAAGTACTAACTTAATACCTAATACTTTTACTACTACCTTTACTACTACTACTACTACTACTACTTATACCTTTAGTACTACCACTATTACTACTAAGTTTACTACTACTAAGACCTTTACTGCTACTACAACAACTACTACTACTAATACTTTTACTTCTACTACTACTTACACCTTTACAACAACAACTACTACTATTGCTACTACTACTACTACTTATACCTTTACTACTACTATTACCACTACTACCTTTACTACTACTACTATTACAGCTACTACAACAAATGCTATTATTACTACTACCTTTACTACTACTACTTATACCTTTACTACTACTACTACTACTACTACCTTTACTACTACTACTTATGCCTTTACTACTACTACTACTACTACTCCTACTACTACAACTTATACCTTTACTACTACTTTTACTACTACCACTATTACTACTACCTTTACTACTACTACAACTACCTTTACTGCTACTACAACAACTACTACTACTAATACTTTTACTACTACTATCTTTACTACTACTACTACTACTACTTACACCTTTACAACAATAACTACTACTATTACTACTACTACAACTTATACCTTTACTACTACTATTACCACTACTACCTTTACTACTACTACTAAAGCTACACTACTACTACTAACTACTACTACTACTACTACTACTACCTTTACTACTACTTTTACTACTACTACTTATACCTTTTCTACTACTACGACGACGACTACCTTTACTGCTACTACAACAACTACTACTACTAATACTTTTACTACTACTACTTTACTACTACTACTACTTACACCTTTACAACAACAACTACTACTATTACTACGACTACTACTTATACCTTTTTCTACTACTATTACCACTACTACCTTTACTACTACTACTATTACAGCTACTACAACAACTGCTACTACTACTACTACTTTACTTATACCTTTACTACTACTACTACTACTACTTTACTACTACTACTACTTATACCTTTACTACTACTACTACTACCTACTTACTACTACTACTACTACTTTACTACTACTTTACTACTACTATTACTACTACTACTACTACTACTACTACTAACTACTTACTACTACCTACTACTACTACTTTACCTTTACTACTACTACTACTACTACCTTTACTACTACTACTTATACTACTACCTTTACTACTACTACTACTACCTTTACTACTACTACTTATACCTTTACTACTACTACTACTACTACTACTACTACTACTACTACTACCTTTACTACTACTACTACTACTACCTACTACTACTACTATACTTTACTACTACTACTACTACTATACTACCTTTACTACTACTACTTATACCTTTACTACTACTAATACTACCTTTACTACTACTACTTATACCTTTACTAACTACTACTACTACTACTACAGGTGTTGTTATACTAATGCCTGTACTTCTTCTTCCTATGCTACTACTAAAACTACTGCTTCTAATCAACTTCTTCTCAGACATTTACTGTCTGCACTGCTGTGTTATAATTCTGTGTTATAATTCTGTGTTATAATTCTGTGTTATAATTCTTTCTCCAGATTTAGTCGACTTTGTTCTAAAGTCAGAAGTATTACCTGATTAGTGTAACTTTAGTTCAGTATTCACAGCAGCTGCCTCGTCTCTTTCACTCTGAGCCTCTCTTCTCTGCAGGATATTCAGTGCTACGTGATTGACAATAATGGGTTTGTCCTCATTTCAAAACAACGCAATGATGTAAGTACACTACACACACACACGCACACACACACACACACACACACACACACACACACAGACACACACACATACACACACAGACACACACACACACACAACCACACCGCCTGAAATTAACCTTGATTTTATAGTGGTTGTAGTCATGTTCTTCTTCTCAAAGCTCAAGTACCTCTGACGTTAAAGGTGCATTGTGTAACTTTTCTGGTGGAGGCTCAGTCAAATGCTTTTCTCCATTCAGATATTTGTTCAGATTGCTTTGTCTGGAATGTTTCACAGTATGGCATTAAACCTTTCTATCTTCACTGAGACCAAACCAGACTCACGATCAGAGTGTCTGTTTTTCTCTGTATTTTTGAGCTGTAAAACCATTTGTAATTGAATAAATAAATGTAAAGTAGAGCTAATTTGTTTGCGTTTAATGCCATACTGTGGAACATTCCAGGCAGAGCAATGACATGTCCATACGAACAAGCAGGTGATGGACCACTAAGCCAAAAAGTTGCACAGCCCACCTTGAAGACTGTTTGTTATAAAATTCTGAAATTGTAGTGATTATTTTTTATGTGCTTTTTTTTCAGGCTGGCAGATTTTTGGGTGAGCTGGATGGTTCAGTCATGACCACGTTGATTCGAATGGGCATGTTCAAAAGGCAAGTTAGATTAATAATATTATATTATTATTACTACTTACAACTAAATACATAAATAAAATGAGTACTAGGTCTTCATATTATCATCATATCATATTAAACTATTTTCACTATTTTTCACACGTGTAACACAAAAACCCTGCGTATTTAAGCTCTTCTCTAAGTTCTTCTCTCAAACAGAAAACACTCTGTTCTACCTTGTGATGTCATGTGGTAATACAGGAAGTGTTCCACTGTGTTTTTAAAATCCATACACTTTCACTAGAATCACTTGGATGATTTCAGCTCTGGAATTGCCAGTTTCTTCTGAACACATGGTAAACCAACCTGGCGCAACATAGTGCCTCCACTTAATTTAATTTCTCTCCAGCGACTAGGTCAGGAATCTGAATACACTAGACCAGGGGTCTCCAACCTGTAGCTCGGGAGCTACTAGTAGTTCACCACCCCCTTCCAAGTAGCTCGCCAAAGGATTTCTGATTTCTGTGTATTGTACTGAATAACTCAGATTTTGATTAATTACCACTGTAAATGTGTTATTTTGAACTTTGTTTATGAATAGATAATGGTTTTAGGTTTTAAAGGCATCTGACTGTACTCAATTTCTTGTGACTGCTAAAATGAGTGGCTCTCCGGCATTTTCATTTTGTAAAGGTAGCTCACCGGACGCAAAAGGTTGGAGATCCCTGCACTAGGCGGTTTGCAAGAACCCTGGAAGTTGTAGACCGCGCACTGGCCAATCAGCGAAGAGCTGTGAAGCCATGACGTCAAACTCAAGCGCCTGTCTGGGGCCCTTTTGTGGAACAGCACAACAGTAAAAAAAAACGGTCGAGATGGACGTAGACAAAGCCATACATTCTGTGTTGGCAACGATTCCCGAGATCGAGGATTTAAAGCCGGAACAAAGAGAATGTTTGATTAATTTTTTCAAGGGGAAAGACGTTATTGCCCTTCCTCCTACAGGATTTGGCACATTACATATGTCACGACCAAATAGCAGCAAATGGTTAAATAAAAAAAGTACCCGCCTACCGTCGAGCGGACGAATCCTAATGCTGCGAGGTCAGACAGTTTCCACGAAGTAAAACCGGCCGATGAATCAGGCTAGTAAAAGGTAGCTGTTAACTTGAAAACTACTACACCACTACATGACATCACAAGGTAAGGGTAAGCGAAGAACTTGTGTAAGAGCATGAACCATCTCACCTCTAGGGCTACATTCAGACTGCAGCCTGAAGTGACCCAAATCTGATTTTTTTGCCCCTATGTGACCTGTATCTGATCTTTTAATGACAGTCTGAACGACACAGATCAGATTTTTTCAAATGTGACCCAGGACACTTGGATATGTGCTCCTGAAACTGATACATATCTGATCTTTTGACATGTGACTTCAGTCTGAACGGCCAAAGCGCATTCATCCACCTACACGTTATCAACAAGCCACAAACGTCACTATTCTGCACTGAAGTAGGCGAAAATTGTTAATGAACTCTGTATCACTGTCAAAAACCTCGTCCTTCTCCTTCTCAATCTCCTCCTTAAAACAAGTAAGTTGTTCATGTTCTGGCTCTGGTACAAGAGAAACTGTAAAATCTCCAGGTGCTCAATGCTCATGTCCATGTTTGGACAACTTCCGTAAACACAGAGCACGCTCGCTGTGGTTGACGTCGTCGTGTCTCCAGTGCTCATGCGGGACACTTTTTTTGGGCCGTTTACTGTTCACACTGGAGATCACATACAAGTCGCATTTAATTGGAAATGTGAACGACCTCGCAAAAAAATCGGATTTCACAAAAAAATTGGGATTGAGCATTAAGCCCTGCAGTCTGAACGTAGCCTAAGTCGGCTTTTTCTGATCAAATTGTGTTAAAACAAAAGTCTAACTTGGGAAACAGAGCTTTAGACTGAGTAGTACCTTCAGTTAGATTCATACACACACCATATCACTACAAGTACTCTTCTTAATAGACTCCTGCTTTCATTATTACAGCAGACAGATTTTAAAAGGCTTCATAAACCTGTCTGGATTAGTTTCTCTGTTGTGTATCCGTACAGGCTTTCCCCCGCGCGCTGTATCTGAGCCCGGATTAGTTGAGTCGGACTTCCCTTGTCTCCGTAGCTTTAGCATTAACTTCTTTGAGTGCCTCGACTTGACTTTAATGTCGGGAGCCTCGTGAGTGATGTGCTATTTTTAACACAGCTAAAAGATTTCTCCATGCTTCATTTGACACACGGGGTATTATGTAACTGCCTTTGCCTGCGTGAACTTCAGCGCTTGTGTGTGTGTGTTGCCATATCCCATTAGCATGTTTATCGGATTTCTGTCTCTCCAAGGACCAACAACATCGGGGAGAAAAGGCAGTCATGTATATTAATATAACGCCATATGTAAATTTCTTGGCTGTTGTTGTCAAAGGTCTTAAAGTATTTAAAATCATCAAAACGGCAAGTTGTTGTAAAGTGTAGCTTTTGCATATATGTACGTTTACTTTAAAGGTAAGTAATGATAGTTCAGAGCTGTTTTCTGATCTATGTTGTAATGTTTCTTCATTAAAAACAGACCTGGAGTTGTGTTTTGTTTCATTCACACTCCACACTCTTTCCCTAAAATCATTTGGATCATTTCAGCTCTGGAGTTGCCAATCTCTAATGAACTAAAAGTAAAAAGTAGCTGTTAATGACAAGGGACAGTTTGGAATTTTGGACATAGGAGCTCATTTCCTCCAGTGTTGGAGACGTGTGGAGACACTTTTAAAAATATTCCATCCAGTCCTTGTATTTGCAGAGGTCGCTGGTGCTAGACTAGTGCATGTCAATGGTCATAGTTATCCTGCCACTAAAAACAGTCTTACCCACTCCACAAAACACATGAAGAAAATCTATTATTACACCAGACTGTCGATATAAATGTCTGTGTCGATAGAATAATTTTAGAAGTAAAACCAACCTTGCATTTGAAGGATTTATGTCTGAGCAGCAGCGAGTTGTACTTCCTGATAGAAAGCTTGGCTGCAGCGGACTGATATATGAGAAAATAGTCCCTATGTTATTAGGTTCTTTTTTCAGACCAAGAGTTTGTTTTCATACCTGACAGTTTTGACTGCTCACTCGCTGTCTTCCTCAGAGTCATGTGATGTTGCTGTGACGTGTTGGTCAGCTGATTTAAACAGGTTTTGGTGCCGTCTTCCTACCGGTGGAGGTAGGACAGCGCCATCTGCAGTCCGACTTCCTCAGGACAGAATCGCACGACGACGAGGGACAAGGGGGCTTTTTTACTCTCACACACCTGGGATACTGTCCTGAGGAAGTCGGACTGCAGATGGCGCTGTCGTCCTACTTAAAGTACTTTAAGCAGGCACATGATAAAATAACGTAGTAAAATAGGATAATAGGACTAACTTTTGGAGCCACAGTCTCCCCGAGTTTTAAATCAGTAATGTGCTCAGTGAGATGATGCATGAACAATACTCATTGCTGTTTTTTTTTTTCTTTCCACAGGGTCTCTCTGTTTGACTACCAGGCCATGTGTAAGATGCACTCACACTCAGTCAGCAGTGGGCGTCACCTCATCAGTGTAAGTAATATCTGTAATTTATCTGTATTATTTATATTTTTTATTAGATTTTTAATAGATTTTTACAAGACAATATATACACAGTTTACAATCAGAAGTATTTAGATTTTCTTGTAAAGGAAAATAATAATAAACACAGTAACACAACTAAGAAGCAGAACAAAAAATGAGGAATAAAGAAAGTTTTTAGGTAAAATCTGATCTTATTGCCTTTACAATGTCTAGCCAGCCTTTCTAAATCCTCCCAAATTCTCTGTTTCTAATCTTAAAATATAATTCAGTTTCTCCATAATATAAATATAATGCATCACCTCTTCCCAGTTTTCCAGTTTTGGTTATCTGTATTTTTTTTTTTTTTTTTAAATGTATTATATTGACAAATGTTTTCTCTTTGTTTGCACAGCCGCTCTACGGTTTGGCCTCTGCCCTAAAATGGTTCCTGTCCAACTTCATTCTGTGAGTGTTGCCCCCGGAAACCAAAACTTACTGTAGCATTCCTAAAATATATTATAATAAAAACATTAATTAGTATGAGTTTACTACTCGCCATCACCAAATCCCATTTACAGTTACTCTATGTCACTTTTCCGGTGGAGTGTCCGTCATCTGTTTGTGTTCATATTGATAAATAGATAGAAAATGCCATACTGTGGAATATTTCAGGTGCAGCAATAAGCAAGGCAAGTTTATTCGTATTGCATGAGTTGTGCAATTTTAACGGAAAGCGATTTACCCAATAAGACATACATAAAAACGAATAAAACTCAAATCTCCATAGCAACAAGGAGGTGACTGACACTTCACTATGAAAATTACACAATGCACCTTTAATATTTGTATTCCTACTGTGTTTAAATCAGATGATGGGCAAGTACACGTGTGATTTTGATTAGATTATTTAATTCTGCAGTTGAAAAATACACGACTATCAGGTCATTAAAAGATGAAAGGTTCTATATTGCACAAAAATATGGACTCTTTAACCTTTAAAATAGTGTAATACAAACCCTTTAATGATCCAACATTTGTGGATTTTCTATTTGATAATTTCTTATTAATAGAACAAAAGGAATGATACTGAAGGATTATATAGGCGAGTTTCAGCTGACGTCATTGTTATTAAAAGCCCGCGTTGCATGCTGGGAAATATTTTGGTCGGAGGCAAGAAACAGGATAGCGTCAAACACAGTGCGTAACCTCGCGTATTTATCCCCGATAATGGTAAATTCCTGCTGCATTATCGGATGCACAAATAGAAGCACGGAAGAAGGAAAATGTCTTTTTCGTATTCTGAGTGAAAACAACCACTAACGGTGAATTAAACGGCTTTCAAACATCCGCAGAGCAAACGTAGAAGATCCTAACAAACCGTGGACTCCAACAAGTTCAACAACACATCGAGACTCTTGGAGGTTTTCATCTTTTCTGCTGTGAATGGCCCAGGAGTTTCCACCAAGTCATTGTGGATATCGCTCAAGTGAATATTTGTCCAGGTAGTTGGCGATTCTGACCAGAAATTTGGTTTGTTCCACCTTTTGTCGGGGTTGAAAAGGGTGATTTGGCTCCGTCGATGCTTATGACCAATTTCTGGTCAAATGGTCTTGGGTCCTCTGCCGTTAGAGTGGATAAATAACCGGGATCAATACCCTTTACGTGTTTTCTCGCTCCGTCCGTCATGTTGAATTAGTGTTTCTTGCCGCCGACCAAAATAATTCCCAGCATGCAACGCGCGCTTTTGTCAACAATGAAACTCGCCTATACATTATATTCTTTCCCCCTATAAGATTGGTACACAGTAGTAGTGGATACAGTAGAATCAACTCAAAAAGTTAGTGACGTTTTTGAAAACTTTCTGCAGTTTGAATGGTTGGTCCACTCCTTTGGATCCTCAGATAAAACTGTTTAATAACTGCTGGGCCCATTAAAATATTCCCCCGACACGAGGCTGGGGCCGGGCCCAGAGTGAAGACAGTCTGTTCACAATCTGCTCAGGCTCTGATGGTCACTTAAACCACTCTCCTCCTCCTCTTCCTCCTCCTCTATCTCTCTCCTCTTTTCTCTCTCACTCACGCTCTCTCCTTTCTCTCCATCCGTTCACTTCCCGCTGTCTCTTTCCCTCCATTCTTATCCTCTTATCTTTTTGCTTCTGTCTGCTTTTCTCATATTTTTGGTCCTTCTCTCTCTCTCTCTCTCTCCCTTGTTCCTCTTTTGCCTTCCCTCTTTCATCTCTTCTTTTCTGTCTTTCCCTTCTCTATCCCTCTCTCTCATCCCTCTCTCTTTACTTTACTCTCTCATCTCTATCTCTCCCCCTTCTCTTTGTGCCTCTCTCTCTCTCTACTCTTCTGTATTTTCTCTTCTCTCACTCTCTCCATCCCTATCCCTCTTTCTCCATTCCCACTCTCTCATCTTCTTTTCTGTCATTCCCTTCTCTATCCCTCCCTCCTCTCTATTTCTCCCCCCTTTCTCTTTCTCTGTCCCTCTCTCTCTACTTTTCTGTCTTTTCTCTTATCTCTTTTTCTCACTCTCTCCATCCCTATCCCTCTTTCTCCATTCCCTCTCTCTCTTTGTCTTTTCTGTCATTCCCTTCTCTATCTCTCTCTCATCTCTCTTTCTCTACTTTTCTTCCCTCTCCCTCATCTCTATCCCCCCCTCCCTCTCTTCCCTCTCTCTCTTTCCCTATCCCTTTCTCTTGCCCTTCCCTCTCTCCGTCTCTCCTCTGTCTCTCCCATTCCTCTTTCTCGCCATTCCTGTCCCTCTCTCTCTCTCTCCCACCCTCCATCCCTATCCCCCTTTCTCCCTTCCCTCTCTCACATCTTCTTTTCTGTCATTCCCTTCTCTATCCTTCTGTCTTTTCTCTATTTCTCCCTCCCCCTTCCCTCCTCTCTCTCTCACCACTTTCTCTCTTTCGCTATCCCTCTCTCACCTCTTTCTCTATCCCTTTCCCTCACCCTTCTCTCTCTTTCTCTCTCTCTCACTCTTTCTCTCACTTTCTCCATCCCTATCCCCTTTTCTCCCATCTCTCTCTCTCGTCTTCTTTGCTGTCATTCCCTTCTCTATCCCCTCTCCCCCTTTCCCCTCTCTTTCTCTATCCCTTTCTCTCACCCTTCCCTCTCTCTCTCTTTTACTTTTCTGTCTTTTCTTTTCTCTCTCTCTCTATCTCTCCCTTCCCTCTTTCTCTCGCCACTCCTGTTCCCCTTTCTCCCTTCCCTCTCTCTCATCTTTTCTGTCTTTCCCTTCTCTATCCCCCTCTCTCCTCTCTGTTTCTCCCTCCCCCTTCCCTCTCCATCTCTCCTCTTCTTTTCTATCTTTTCCCTCCCTCCCTCCCTCCTTCTCTCTCTCTCCCTCCTTCTCTTTTTTCTCGGTAGGTTTCTTCTGGAGTTTAATATCTGCGGCCTGTGGCACTCGGAGCACTTTGCTGAAGGTGAGCTGATCCTTAAACGTACCTGTCCTCTGTGGTTTGTCTCTGCGCGTCCTTCACTCTGACTCACTCTGACTCAAAAATAAACACCGTTTCAACTTAATGTCACACTCAGAATAACTGCACAATCATGTTTAAAGCCTCTTTTTTCACGATATGAAAATTCCAAACTGGATTTCCATACTAAGGAATAGACTTGATACCACAATGATAATAAAAAAACACTCTTTATTTAGACAATATGATTTTAAACATTAAATCATAGTACTTTCTTTTATATTCCCATGTGGTTTTATATCTGTGTAATCCCTCAGTGGTCCAGGTCTAGTCTAAATCTAAACCAGGTCTAAACCAGGTCCATGGGCGCATACTCATCTAGGTGCTCTTATGCTTGTCCTGATACAGCTCAAGATCATTCTAAAGCTTCAGGAAAGGTTCATTTCTGTCCTAGGAATGGCACTTTTTTAGTCCCATTCCCATTGTTTCTCATTTATTTATGTGTAAAGGGACAGCACATATTGATGAACATTTAAAATGTAAATATGTAAAGATTATAGCCAACGTGGCTCATTTCCATTTTCAGTCCCTCGGCAGGTTGATGTTAATTAATCTACAGGACAGGAAAAAGTACAGCAACAATCACACAAAAAGTACATAAAACCAGCACACTTACTATACATACTGTACAATTCATTTATGGGCCTGTTTACACGAGAACACTTGTGGGTAAAAATTACAAAATATTTTATCAGAAGTGCTTTTCGTTTAGACCAGGGGTGTCAAACTCATTTTGGTCCGGGGGCCGTATCCAACCGACTTTGATCCCAAAGGGGCTGGATCAGAAAACTCATGTCATATAAACCCCAAAAATAACAATAAGTTCAAATATTTGTGCAGAGAAACACAAATCTATTACAGAAATCTTTTTTAATTGATGAACTCTTTCTTATTATAATATTATAATATTATGAACAATCTGAAACTTTAAGAAAAATTCAATTTCAACACAATGTTTTAACATGAACTTGTTTGCAAATAGGAATAAGTACAATTTTTCTTGGAAAATCCTGCACTCGGCTCCACTTTTCTCATTTTTGACATTTTTCTGATGAGGGTGTCACGGTCAACAGTCAAAACGATCGTCCTTTAAGAGCGTTTGGAAAGAGACAAGTCTTCATTTGTGCTGCTCTGGTGGGAGGGGCCACGTACAGAGACGCTGGAGACGCTGCTATGCTCAGCACCGCAGAAAATTACCAATATTTTAATAGAAAATATAATTAAAGTATTTTAGTAGAAAATCACCCAAGGGCCACATTAAAGGTCTTGGGGGGCCGGATCTGACCCCTGGGCCTTATGTTTGACACCTGTGGTTTAGACGGTGATGACGTTTTTGGGGCTGAAAAATGTAAAAATCTGAAACCACCCTCCAGAGTGGAAAAGTTGAATACGCTTCGCCGTAGTGTTTCCGTCTACACTGCCCAAGACGCAAAACTCTGGTCAGATCTGCTCACGTTGCGTATATGTTTCACGTCACAGATATACAGTACACAGAACCATGCACACTCAACCGAATTCCACACACTTTTGCGTCACCGTATGCACGCAGATTTCCTCCTGAAAACACTCGGCTAAACGAAGAATAAAAAGTGAAGACGCGACATCACTTTTTGCATCTTCTGTTCAGACCGTCATCATACAAACGTGGCCTCAGACAGTTCATTTGAAGTTCGACCCAACAACCCCTCAATATAAACGATTCATTTTGTTAAACCTTGTGACATATTTGACCTTTGAACAATCACAGTTTTAAAGCTTCAGAAAATGCTGCCAGTGTTGAAAGTTCTCGTACATGAGCAGCTCTGTGTTCCATGTTTGACCCACTCCAGAAGCAAAAGAGTTTGTCCAAAAGCACTTTTCCTAAACGGCACAGAGCAGTCACCTCTAGAATCTGAATTTCTTTTCACAAACTCCTTTAGAGGATTAGATTACTTTGTATACCAAAATTAAACCTGCATATTTGATTGTGTTGTATCTGTCAAGTATTCTACATTAGTGTTAGTTAACGGGCTTTTTGTCTAATTCCTTACCTGCTCAAATGTTTATCTAGTTTCAGAGCAAGTCTTAGTATTGATTTAGTATCTGATTTTTTGACAACCCTAATTTAGATTCAAAAGCAGTTTATTTTTCTGGTCAGGTACGCATGCCTCTAACAAATAAACTTCCCTGGTGGATACACAGGATTATAATTTATCTCTGCATCTCTCTCTATATAGATACGTATATTTGTCTGTGAAACACCCATAAAAATGAAACATTCCCGTTGTCGATGTGTTGATTTCGTGGTGTGGTTGGATAAATATATGGAGATTAGAATCAGAATAAGTTTTATTGCCATTGTCAGTGAGCACAATTCACAGACGAGGGACTGGCTTTGGTTTTACTTGGAGACATAAAACAAATAATAATATAAAAAACGATGACAAAATAAAGATAAAAATAAGGGCATGCATTGAAAAAGTTATACCAGGGTCAGTGAGAATTCCAGTGTCTAACTTTCATGCGTTAAAACGGCATAAATTACGGCTCCTCGTTCAATGCTTAGGTAAAAAATAAACTTTTGATGTACAATACAAAATTTCACAGTGTTTGGGTAAGATTAATGATGACGATTAAGTGGATTTGTGGATTTCCTATTTAAATACTTCTTAGAAAATAATTAACAGAGAGAGAGAAGGATCGTGTTGCATTAATTAAACTTAATCCAGCTCATTTGACTAATCCTTGTGTGTTTTGTTTCTTAGCTTCGGTCCATAAGAAAAAAGGGGAGATCCTGCAGCCGTGCGAGACGGAGTACCCGAGCTTTGTGTACGAACCCTCCGTCAAAGAGACCAACAGCATCATCAAGTGTGGACGCTGCCAGAAGTGAGCGCCCCCTACACTTTATACACAGACATGCACTCATTTTCAGTGGTGGAACGTAACAAAGTAAAAGTAGTAAAGTGCTACTAAAATTCTACTATTGTATTTTTCGGACTATCAGTCGCACCAATCAAAAATGGCATACTGAAGAAGAAAAAACATACAAGTCGCACCAGACTATAAGTCACACTTTTTGGGGGAAATTTATTTTATAAAATCTGAGACCAGGAACCGACATTTACTGTTGAAAGTCAAGTTCTAGTAAAAACAATAAAACAGAGAACAACAGACTGTTAACGTCACATATGAACAGTTCTTCAGATAAACTAAAACATAAACAGAACAGAACAAGTTTAACAAACTCTCCATCTCACTCCAAATCACTAAATCCATTCAATTCTTCATCCTCGGTGTCACTTCTGAGCAACTCCGCGACCTCTGGAGGTAAACAGAGCGCCGCTTCCTCTTCTGTGTCGCTGTCATCAGACTCAGAATCAGTTCCAGTTAGAATTATTCTGGCCTTTTTGAATCCAGACAGGATGGTTTCGGTGTCACTGAAGTCCAGGCTTTGTCGATCCATCCAGTGACTTCCAGGAAAGTTGAATGGCGCACTCTACCGTTTCCCGTGGAGATGTGTTCTCCATCCCCGCTTTTCCCCAGTGCCTCACAAGTTTCTTTCTCACTCCAAACTTTTTTTCTGCTGCTCGATTACTGTTTTCAGCTGCAAATTTCACTACTTTCAACTTGTCATCTGCAAAATATGATTTTCTTTTTTGGGGCATTTGTGTTCAGTCTTTTTACTCGTCTTTATAAGTTTGTTTAAATTCTACATTTTCAGTGGTACAGAAGTAATGGTGCAATCGACTGACATGATACAGACAGGACAGAGGCTCTCTTTGCAGGAGACATGCGCAGTAGAGTGAAGTGACAGTGGTACAGGAGGAACAGGAGCAGCAGATACTGACACACAAGCCCACAGTGCCCTCTCACAGCTGCCAGTGTGAAAATGTTAATATATAAGTCGCACCTGAGTATAAGTCACAGGAAACACCCAAACCATGAAAAAAAGTGCGACTTATAGAGCGAAAAATACGGTAATACGAATTAAAAAAGGTCCACTATATAACTTACCTGATCGGGAGGCTGCCACTTGCTTGTTTCTATTTGTCGGTAATGTTCCACAGTATGAGATTCAACTTATCTATCTCCATGGAGACAAGCAGCTCAGATCTGTAGAGAAAGCATGTTTTTTTTATTTTTTGAGCAATAAAAGCCCTATTACTGAATACAGGTAACAAGGAGAAGTTTCAAGGTGCATTGTGTAACTTTTCTGGTGAAGGATCCGTCAAATGCTTTTCTCCGTGGAGTTATTTCTTCGTCTGGAATGTTTCACAGTGTGGCATTAAACCTTTTTATCTTCATGGAGACCAAACCAGATCAAGTTACAGGTCAGATCTGTGGAGAGGCGACCCCGCTCACTCAGAATGCCTGTTTTTTTGAGCTATAAAACCACCTCATTGACATATCCATATAAACAAGCAGGTGACGGACCCCTATCCAAAAAGTTACACAGTGCACCTTTAATGCCATACAGTGGAACATTACAGGTCACAGGGGAACAAGCAGGTGTTTGATTATTTACATTGGCCGTGCCCTCTCTCCGTGCAGACCGGAGCCCCTCTGCGTGCTCTGGTACAGCTCTGTTTTTTTTTTATACAGAGACAGATGCGTGTTTATTTTAGGAGTGGAAATCAGCGCACAGGGACAGAGCTCTGGCTTCTCGGGGCGAGAGGCGTCTGCTGCTGTGAACGGGACCGGGATGGAGGGAGAATCTTAAAGCTGTGACAGGGAGGAGAGACAGAGAGGAGGAGAGATGGAAAAAAGCACGATACCATTTTTCTACACTTTATTCTCTGAGGTGTGGCCAAGTTCAAGAGCTTTTATTAAGGTTTTAGAGCAGGTATCAGTACAGGGCTTCATACTATTTAAAAGCTACCACTGTATGATACCAAAAAAGTTAAGGTTCTACCAAAAATGTATATTATTAATTGATAGTATATAACAATATTTGATCCCAGACATATCAGACTCAGGCCCAGGTGCCAAATTTGGCCCGTGATATAATTATATCTGGCCCATGAGATCATATCAAATACGTATTAGAGCTACCCACCGGCTATAGATAGACTATAGAGACATTATTTATTTAAAATGTTGTTATTATTTTATATTATGCTTGTTTTGGATTCAGTGTTTAAGCAAAACTATTATTAAACATTTATTTTAATAGGAAAAGGTTTAACATTACATATCTCAAAAGAAGAGAAAACATGCAGATGTTGTTGAAATTTTTCAGTAAATATTTAGTTTGGCCCACGACATAGTCCCAGTTTTTAATTTTGGCCTCTGTGAATCTGAGTTTGACACCCCTGGACTAGAGTATATAGAAATTTACTTTGTCCCCAAAAATGAATGATTAAAAACACACGCATTTTTTAAGAATAAATCAATTAATAGAATTTCTGAACATTATTATTCTATTTTGTCATTTTGTCATTATAATGAAATGTAAAAGTAGGTAAATGGTAAATGGTAGGTACAGAAAAATGTATAGTTTAAGTTTGGTACCAAAGAATGAAAGGAATCAATCATTCATCTGTGTTTTCTACTATTTCCAGAACATTTTTAACAGTTTTAAAGGAGAATATATATTAATAAAGTAATGGGTTATATTTTATTTTAAGGAAACCACATTACATTTACAACATTTTGGTCCATCCACTCACCGTCACATGTTCTATTTTTTATTTTTTTTTTTATGTTTTGTTTGCTTTTTTTCAAGAAAATGAATTGTCTCCTTCCACCATGTTTTATATTTATGCAGATATCGTTTCCTGTCTTTTGCTTCCATCTAGTGAAGAGTTTCAGTATTGTTTGGCTTAAATAAACTGTACTGAATCTGTTCAGCCGGTTAATTCTAGTAGTAGCCTACACATTTATCAAGGGACACATCAGGATTAATCAATACTATTTACCCGTGTCGTAGTCTCGAGAGCGGCCGCAAGACTGTTTTTTACCTTCTTGGTCTTGTCTCGGGCTCGAGCTCATTTTGATTCAGTCTTGTCTTGGTCTCGATGGCTCTTGTCTCAGATTTTCTCGGACTTGAGGGTCTGACACTTGACGAGTGCAATCATATTTCTTTAGAGCTGCTAAATGTGCAGAGGCTGCTCAAAATCACTGCAAAACCAGTAAGAAAATGTAACTGTAAATGTTATGAACTTGGAAAAAAAAGCATTTGATTCACTTTGAAGTTGTTTTCTGTAAAGCGCCAGTGGAAGTGGGACTAAAGAAGAGCATCTCAAACTGTGGGTGAGGGTCCAAAAAAGGGGTGCAGAGTGGTTGCTTGTCTTATTTTAATCTTAAATGAACATTAATCAGATAGAATGGAGCTAGATTTATAAAAACACATGTGCTAAAATAACTGTAAAATACAAATAAATGTAGGAAATGACAAAGCTGGTCTTGATTTGGCCTCGGTCTGGTCTTGACTTCGACTCTCAGAGATCTTGGTCTTGTCCTGGTCTTGGTCTTGTTTAGCGCAGTCTTGACTACAACACTGTTTGTTTGTTTGTCTATAGATCTATCTAACTGTACTGTCTTTGCTTCCCCCTGCAGGATGTTTGTGGTACAGCAGGTCCCAGACACAAACCTGCTGATGCTGGTGGTTCAGGCCGACTGCGACTGCTCCAGACAGTACTCGCCCATCACCCTCAACCCTCAGGAAGTCAAATATATCCTTTATATGAACACGTAACATTAAATGAATAAACTACCTACCTACATAAACACTGAATAGTTGTATTGACTGTATTCATAGTTAAATACACAAGCAAAACAACATGACTAATCATTAAAAAATTTGTTCAAAAGATGTAAAGCCATTTTCACACTCCGTCGTAATTAGCAGATTAGAAAATGTCCAATGCGGCTTTGTCTCTAAAATGTCTGTTTTTCTAGGTATATTGGGCAACAAGAATTGATAGAATAAATACGTTTAATTAATTGCATATTGTGGAACATTTTAATCAAAGCAATAATATATCCATGGTAGCAAGCAGGTCTAATCCCTCCAACACAAAAGTTAGATAGTGCACTTTAATGAACAGAATTTAAGGGTGAACTGTGTAACTTTTCTGGTGGAGGGTTCGCCAAAAAATATGTTCCACATATTTTTGAGAGTTAGAATTGGTTAAATAAAAGTAATTATCTTATATATCTATCTTGCAAAGTTTGATAAATTTGTTTCTAATTCACTTGCATCCTTCTGTAGATACTCTCAGTCAATTCTGTGAGTTTTTGTTGTTGATTTTCTTAACGCCGCTGCACATAACTCCTCGTCTAAATGCGACAGAATGAGATCTCAGAAGATTCGCAGGCGCCCCGAGTCATGCCACGCCTATCACCCTCAGGTCTGACTCTTATTTTACACTCATATATGCATCACAATTATTTGGGCGCAGTCCTCTTTTAAAACTGGTTTAGATCACACCAAAGAATGTTAGGCCTTTTGAGTAACAGCCAAATCATTTTCTTAGATAACACTTGATGTGAAAGTGTATCCAAATTTTTGTTTTGTAATTGACAGGAGCAGTAATTTAGATTATTTTCATTTATTTTTTTCATTTGTTTCATTCATGTAAGATGAATATACAATAGTTATGTTTCATACATTAATGTGAACAAAAAGAGCAGAAAGAAGTTGAGACTTATAATATCTGTCCCCTTTGATCACGACTGGGTTCAGTTAATGGAACAATGTTAATATTTTGCTACATATAGCTTAGTATTTTGCTGAGTAAAATTTTACTGTATTCACTCAGTTAGTAAAAAAAAATACACCTCTGATCAAAGGTTTTAGAACACCCTGATTTTTCCAGTTATTTATTGCAATTCAAGTTGTGCAAGTCCAATGAATATCGTGAAATGGTACAAAGGTAAGAACTGAACGGCCAGAGGTTAAAAAAAAAAGATAAAAGAACAAAACACAAGTCCAAGTTCTGCCAAAACTACCTCAGGAAAAAAGAACAAGATGGTAAAACTTGAAAACATGGAGCATCCAGCAGCACAGTGTCCAGACTTAAACCCCATTGAGCTGGTTTGAGATGAACTGGACAGAAGAGTGAAGCGACCTACAAGTGCCACACATTTATGGAAACTTCTGCCACAGACTTGGGAAGAACTTTCTGAAGAATATTTGATTTCTATCTTGTAAAAAGAACAAGCCACGAGTGTGTTCAGCTGTTATATCTGCCAAAAGATGGCTACACTGATAAATCAAATGTTTAGAATATGTTTTGGTCAACAGTAAACAATAAAAAAATGGAAAAAATGCAGTGTTCTAAAACATTTGACCGGTTGTGTAATATGTATATACATAAATTTAAACACTTGTGCTTTATATTTTACTTTTTTTCAGTACTGTAGCTGCCAGATCACTCAAGTATTTATAAAAATGTTATTGTAATATTTAAGTAAAAACTAAAACTACACTTACAGAACAATATTCATGCAGATGTTGAATAAGGACGGGACAAGATCACACGATACAAATTGACACAAGATGGTGCATACATGAGACATGATCTTGTGAGATTTTTTCCTGAATTTACCGCTAGCTTGGACAAAAAAACAAAAACAAAAAAAAAAAAACATTGAGTTATACAATTTGAGAAGCTGTAGTTCCAAAAAGCGGTACTACAAGTAACTACTACTACTGCTACTAAGTAAAAACAGTGACTCCAAAATTGTGAAATGATTGCACTATGTTGTTATTATTATTTATTGCAAATATATGTCAAAATCTCGTCTTGTCCCGTTCTTGTGGACCCAATCTCGTGTTGTGCCTCGTCCCATCCCGAGTGTTTCCCTATAAAAATAAATCCCGATGCACATTCACATTCAATAAACTTCCATCATCTTTCTTTCTTACAGGAGAACGCAAACGACTGTGGAGGAGCTTCATCCGTGTCTCTATCTGCATTCCTCTTTTTGCTTTGTCTCGTCACATCGGCCCTCGACTCCTGATAAAGGATTGCTTCACATTTCTTCAGACTTTTGAGAAATGTTCCGAAAAACTCCTTCAAGGACCCCGCATGAGGTTCAGAACAGCATCCACAAAATCACACTGCTCGTCGTGGACTTTTTTGTAGCTGGTGAAAGTTTTTATTTAACTACAAAATTGCCAAATCGCTGGATCAGACTCAGAAGATGATTCAAATGTGGAAGGACTTTGAACTCACCACTGCAAATGCAAAAAAGGGAAGAACTCGTGTGTAATGCTTGCATCTAAAATACAGTATTATGGACTTTTAATTCATGAAAAATGCACGTTTATTTGTGTGAATGGATCAGACTTTCTGGTGTCATGGAGTCCGTAAAGAGATATTTAAAAATTATTTATGTTATGTACTTTTTATACATTTTTTCATGTCTGATTTTGCCTGTGTAATTATTTTGTGTTTTATATTTTCCTGCTGTATGTGATCATGAGACAAAGGGTGATTTTTTTTTTGTTTTTGGTATTGTGCAAAATTTGAAAATATTATATGTCAATCCGTCACACATGCTAAAACCTCTTTAAAAATCTTGAAAAGAAATAAAAATATTTGTTGCGTTTTAGCCAAAAGAATACATGCATCACGAATTTCGGACTTCCAAAAAAGTGAGCATAAAACCGCCATGTTTGTTTTCCCAGTGGGATGCGTCTATTGTCAAAGTCGAGTCTTTTGAACTTTGTTTCTGGTTCTGATATTGTCATATTTTAGTTTTGGGATTCGGACATCGTTAATTGTGTGGCTGTTGGATCCTAACACCGGAAAACGGCTCGAGAAAGAAAGTTTGCGAACTCCATAAATACAAAAGTGAATCAGATGTGTGTGACTGCAAACCTCTGTTCAAACTGTTTCCCTTCCCAGCGGAATTGAAAAATTGTGAAAGATGAAGGCGATGGGCAGGACTGATACACAGGAAGGATGAAAAATTAAACCTTTGGCTGCCTAAGAAATCATCCTGAGTTTGCAATGAACATTTTGTATGTGGAGCGTCAACAAAGCAAAATCCCGATCCCTCGCTCAACCTTGGTTATGAATTCAAAAAGTCAACGCCAAAGCGAAAGGCACCTGATGTTCCCTGATTCCCTTTTGCATTTATGAAGTTCGCAAACTTCCAAAGCCCATTTCTAGAGCCGATCCAACAACCACACTAACTAACTAACTAAAATATGACAATATCAGAACCAGAAACAAAAGTGAAATGGTTCAAAAGACTTGAAAAGATCGGCTTTGTCAATAGACGCGTCCCACTGGAAAATCAAACATGGCTCACTTTTTCAGAAAATCCTTCCCAGTATGCATTGCGCGATGACCGGAAGTCCGAAATTCGTAATGCATGTATTGAAAAAGTGCGTATTTTGGATCCCAGGCAAATATTATTGAGTAATTTTACAAATCTCCCAGAATTCCGATGGGCATGATTGTCAGGTGGATTAGCCAATCAGGGACGCACATGGTCTGCCCATATGAGAAAAAAATTAAGAAAAAAACATCACAGGGGGCTGAGAAACATTGCGGATTTCTGCAGAAGCAATGAATAAAAGCATTATGAAATTAGATTTTATTACTTGTAAATGACGGGCGACCAATGAGTTGTAATTAAAAAAAAAAATCTGGTTGGACGATCGTGCTTGGTTCTGGCTTGAGGCAGAACAGAAATCATGGGGACCAGACTGATCTGAATTAAAAAAAAATACAGAGATATTAGTCTGGATTTGCAGGCAACAATAACTTTTATTTACCGTATTTTCCGCACTATAGGGCGCTCTGGGTTATAAGGCGCACTGTCATTAAATGGTCTATTTTCGAACTTTATTCACAAATAATCCGCACTGGACTTTAAAGGAAACACAACAGTTGGATGGGTGAGTGGTTTTGTTTGTTTGTTCGTTCACGGTGACTCTGGGCTTTGTTCAGTTGTGGCGTGTAGGGAGGTGCTGTCTGGGACCAACGGATTGTCGGCGTGTTCGCAGTGACTCAGTTGTTCAGTCGTGTCTAGAAGTGGCACATTGCACTCGCTTTTTCAGTTCGTTCCTTCGTTCCATTCCTCGTCGGCGTGGAGTGATGAGTGTGTCTGTGGGTGTTTTTCGCTGTGCGGTCGCTGTCTGCCCCGTGTGTGTTTGCGACTTTGTAGTTTACTGAAGTCGTGCTGGGAAACTCGAGTGGATTCGTGTATGGGGTGCTCTGGATTGTGGGGCGTCGTTTTTTGATGGGGTTGGAGGCTTAAGAGTGCGCCTAATAGCCCGGAAAATACGGTACAAGAATACAATACAAGTTAGTTTCATTTTATCTTGAGGTAGTTACCATTTTAAAACACCCTTGATATTGATAATTTGACTTATTGTCCACCTTTAAAATGTATTTTCTGTGTAAACTTTATTTTATTTTGTTCATATTCAGGAACTTTTTCACTCTTCTGCTCCTACAGCACTTTCCTCATGTTGTCTTGTCATTAGAAATCCATGTTTATTTAAAATCACTGACTTGTATGTCATTAAAAAAAAACAGCCTTTATTTAAATGCTCTGTAACATTTGTGTGGTTGCTTGTTGGGAATCACTTAAGTGCTTTTCATACACATCACATTATTGCTTCGATCAATAGGATAAAATTGGATTCTCTGACTTTGGTGGAATTGGTGATTATTCAAGCATTCTCCAGCCTCGAGCCTTGAAATTCTGCAGAGATAAAAAGGAGCCGAGTCAAAGTGTTTGCTCAAATTGTCAATGCTGAAATAACTAGGCCTACGGGTTCTCATCTGTCACTTAACTTTAATGAATTATTTATATTTTTTTCCACAATTCTACACACATTACGACACACTTTACACACATAGAACATATTCCAGTATCCGTACAGTCAATATTCACCAGACATGATTCAAATCTGATTCACATAAAAGTGCATGTGACAGGTTAGACTACTCACTTTAGTTTAAAAAAAAAGTTAACAGAATTATATTGAAATTTCTATGGAGTAAGAAAGCTGTCAAAAATATTCGTGCGCATAAAATAGAAATCCGTACGTATTTGGGAAATCCGTGCATAAATTTGGCTGACGTCTGTAACCAGGACAGTTTGGTAGTGTTTGGTGTAAACTGGGACATTTCAGCGTCCCGAGGAACTTTTGGTGGCATTTCATGCGAGAAATGAAACACCTCCTTTGAACGGGAAATTGCACCTATATGTTAGATAACATAGTGGAGCCAGTTGGTGAACATCAGACGTAACGTTATCCCAGGGCTAATTAGCAAATATCAGGTTCTCTGTATGTTTAGATTAAAACATTCACGACTACAGCCACAGCGAGCATCAGTCAGTCTTCACTTCAGCTGCATTTCTCGCATGAAATGCCACCAAAAGTTCCTCGGTCCTGTCCTGGTTACAGACGTCACAGCTAATGAAATGTTACACATTACAGTTTAATGCAGCTTCCAGCATCAATTAATGTTCGTGTTTACAGGCAACACCTTGGTATGTTTACAGTATTTACCAGTAAGTAGAACGTCACCCGTGACGTGGATGGATTTGCTCATTATAACCCATTATAACTCATGAAAAACCCATTGTCTGAAATGCAGCTGAGATGAAGACTGACTGATGCTCGCTGTGGCTGTAGTCGTGAATGTTTTAATCTAAACCTACAGAGAACCTGATATTTGCTAATTAGCCCTGGGATAACGTTACGTCGGATGTTAGCCAACTGGCTACCACTATGTTATCTAACATATAGGTGCAATTTCCCGTTCAAAGGAGGTGTTTCTACACAATATTATACAGCAGCGTTCGGTTCCCGAATTCAAGACATTTTTACAATAGATTTTAATTAACCCACTTGTTGGTCGCTGTTGTAGCTTCTTGTGCTATTACTCTGTTTTTACTCTGCTACAAACTTGAGCTGTGCAGTCTTGATCTTGATCGATGTTTCTTCTGCTCGATGAATAATGTCTGTGAAGTGATGACGTATTTTTGACAGTAAAGTTCCGTCTGTGAATTCGTATTCGTACTGATGAAAGCGTAATCGTAAATTTTCATTTCGTGATTGTATTTCATGACGTCGTAATTTTTCAATTCGTATTCTGATGGATAAAATACACACAATATATTTTATGTACGACTGGACTCATTTGAGAGTTTACAAATATTTATTTTATGCGCAACTACAGCCAAATATGCACGGATTTCCCAAATACGCACGGATTTCTATTTTATGCGCACAAATATTTTTGACAGCTTTCTTACTCCATAAATTTCTACAAATTTTACTTACAGATGTGACATAGACAGATGGAGTTTCAGAACTTTTACCTAACACCCATACTGTTAAGTACTGTAATAGTCAGGTTAAATTGTCCCTGCATTTGAGAGATTTGAGGGACATTATTTGGACACAGTAGTTCACACATCACGATATATTTGAATGACAAAAAGCAACAATATAAATGGTAATAATCATTTCTAAATAAGTAGCAAAAATAGCAAGAGACTGATGTATATGTCCAAGTAAAATATCTATTAAATATACATATTTACCACAGGTATAGTATCCCCAAAACAAGATTTTTATATTTTTTTTTCTCAAATTAAGTACTTTAATATCAGGCTATATGCGGCAGGTTTTACGACGAAGTAACCCGCTGAATTTATCCAGGCTGGGGACTGGCACAAAGGGGCACACAGCGCCGTCTGTGGCAGGATTAGACCCACCGCCCATGCTTTTGTAGGGTTAGTACATTAGTAAGTGCGTGTAGTTATACTCACGACAAACAGCAGCCTTGAAAACCTGTGAAGACTAGTTTAAAGGTTACAGTATGTAAAACAAATCAGCAACGAGAAGACATTTCAAAAGATTTAAACATCATATTCCACAAGACAATAATTCGATTCAAATTTGAACCACTTCAGGCTCAAAAACAAACATACACACATGAGAAAACCAGTGCAAACCTGTGGAACGAGTTAGATTAGGATAAACTGTATTTCACTTGGTGTATGTGTTAGGACCAGAACCATCACATTAAAAAAAAATGGTCTGGCCACATTTAGACCAGTTCAGACCAAACGCAAA